ACGATCAGTGGGACGAGCACCTCCCATTGTTGATGCTGGGGTACAGATCGCTCGAGCACAGTGCGCTGGGCTACAGTCCGTATTTTCTCATGTTCGGTAAAGAGCCGCGCCTGCCTGTGGAGGCTGAGCTCCAGGTTCCAGTCGCGAGCAAATCTCAGACCGTCACTGAATATGTAGATAAGCTACGCGAGTCTTTGAGAATTGCACACAAGCATGCGCTACAGGTATCTGACGCTTCACATGGGAAAAACAAACGTTTCTACGAAAAACGAATGAATGAGCTTGACTACAAAGAGGGAGATTTGGTATTTTTGCACAAAGCTGTGGTTCCTAAGGGACAATATTACAAGTTTGTGAGACCGTGGAAGGCTGCGGTGATTGTAGCAAAGGTAGGGGACTTGAACTATCGTATCAGGGTCACGGGCTCCAGGAAAACATTACTGGTTCACCATAATCGTTTGAAGCCGCGAACTGAGCCGATAGTTACCCCACCTGAGCCAGAGGTCACTGAGAGTCAGGATGGGGCTGGTGCTGATGCTGCGTCACCGGTGACACGCGCTCAGACCACGCCGCCAGCAGAGATAGAGTCGGTCTCCGTGGACAGTGGGTCAGCGGATGACCCGGCTGGTGTCACAGCCTGGGCACGATTGCCCATCACCGGCACAGCTGTGCAAGGTAAGGAGCCGGCGATTGAGGAGCAATCGTCCGGCACAGACCAGATGGCGGTGCCGACACCCGAGTGTCGACCGGTACCCCCGAGGTCTGAGGTACCGCCGCCGGTGCCAGCCAGACGGTCCGAGCGACGGACTCGACCGCCTGATCGCTTTGTTCCAGGCTTGTAGGTAGCCTGATTAACATGAATGCTTCAAAAGGCAAGAGGTAAGAGGTGCGCTCAAATTAACGTAAAATCAGTCGCCCTGATTTTCCTTTTAACTAGCTCAGCAGGCAATCGGTTGGCTCCTGGCGCCGGAGTGCGACAGATTTGTTTAACTCTTTATGGAAAGAGAGTGTGCGCTTCGAGCTAGATTCGGTCAATCCCTGGGGACGTTTCTGATTGACATGTCAATGTCATTAAACTCAGTTTGAGTAGGAGCCCTCTAGCAGCCTGTTCAGAGCATCATGGCATGGGATGTAAATAGCATGGTCTGGTTAGCCTGTGTTTGGGATGGGACCCAGGGTACCCATTGCCATCATTGACGGTTAGCCATACCTGTTCAGCTAGCTAGTTGATAAGTGAGCGATGCTGCGCGATGACGTGTTTGTGTTTTTCGTTGTTGCTGACTGCCAGTCCACGTCAGCCGGATGCTGCCAGGCATCATTTAGCGACCACGGTGTTATGGTGTCGTGTGGCGCGTGCTGCAACTGCTGATGTTATCGCATGTGTCAATGAGTGTTTCTAGATGTAAGTGCACGCCTTTCATTCAAAGGAGGGAGAAGTGTAATCGGCAAGCTTTGCGCCGATTAAAGTTTATCTGTTTCACCGGCGAGAGGAGCCCGGTGACCATATGATGTCTGGACAGGAATTTAATTCAACGGTTTTGCGCGTGATCGTCTGCTATTCAATTGTTGCTACAGGTATGAACTCGAAGCTGTCCTAGATACTGCAATTAAAATGTGTTTATTATGTACGGCATATTATTAGAATGGTAAACACTCTTACTCATGCTCTCGGCTTTACTGACCAATTAGTATAATGTTTTATATAGCGGATGCCGCGATCGGAGCATCTCATGGTGCACTATGTTTTCGCCCATCAGCTGATCACGGCAGGTGTTCGGCTGACTTGGGCGGGGAGTCTGGTATCGAGAGCTCTAGGAGTGAGGTTGCGCTCCTGGCTCTGTTAAAATGTAATCTAAAGCTAAATACAATGTAATTTTCTTCACTTTTGAGTATGTCGATTCACCTTCAGTAAACACGGGTTTACATATGCAGAGACGTATGGGTCGCAGTTCGGTATAGATGACCCCAGCCCAACGTCACCGATCACGCCATTACTTTGCCCCCACCACCACCACCACCATGCCACAGATTGGCCCACCTCTCTGTCACCCCTGCCCAGTCCCCACCAGTCCCAGCACATTCACAATGACGCCCAGTCATAAAATATGACTACGCGTGCATTGGAGCGGCGACAATCCATTACTGGGCTGCGATCAGAAGGCGCGGCCGCCGGCCGCCACTCGATTGGCCCGTTATGTTCATATAGCAACGCACGCTGTTTGGAGGACAGTGACATGTTCATATGGCGACGCACATTGTTTGGAGGACTGTGGCATGATAGAGACGCACGTCGTTCGGAGGATGGTGGAATGTTAAAAAAGTTATGTAAGTCGTTTGGGAGGTCATTCGTGTCATCCGAGAATACGACCGCTGTTGGATGGTGAAGCCTGTAGCGTAATGTGCGGTTGAGGACAGAGGCAGGCGAGCTGATTAACACGCTATGAAATACATCTGCCTCAGAGAAGAGAGCTCCGTGCCATCTCCCGAGACCAAATTGTATCGACAACACCGTCTGCACCGACATCACTTTAGCGTCGCTATGAACAAATAAACCATCGGAACAAGGCTCGATTGGCATTAGCGATAAATTTTAACGCACCGCATTCAGACGCTGGACAATTATCTAAATGAAATATTGACATCAGATCACCACTCTTTGCCATTCATCACTGCGTGGTGACTGGTGATGTCATTCGCATATTTGCGTATTGCGGCACAGCATAGATTCAGGCGTCAACTAGCAACGCCATCTATGAACAGTAGAGAACACTACAGAGAAGCAGAGCCGCGGTGGGGCGGTCAGAAAACAGCGCCGCAGTATCCACCAATCAATAGCAGCTCAGATCATTAATCTTTTTTACCTTTACTCACTATTGAGTATTGTTCGTCTAAACAACCGTGAACTATAGCGCAACACGGGCTGTTCCAGGAGTCAGCGCCTAGTACGCCGCCTTTGTCTGGCGCTCGCCTGCCGGTCGCGCCGGTTTTGTCACAGTCCGCCACCAATCACAGTGGCCGGCTGAATGGTCGTTCACCTGTCGTGGGCGGCCTCCCTGGACTGACGCGCACCCGGCGGCCCTGGTCGACAATGAGGCCAATTACGCGACCATTATTGGTGAGCGGCAGGCCGGCAAACACAGGCCACCAATCAGCGGTTCAATGTTGCAGCTGCCCCGACCATCCAACTGTCTGTGCCACTGTGTACAGTACGTTCGAGCGGCCTCGGTAAGCGATGTAAGGGGAGGTCGTTTGAAAAAGTTCGTTAGCAAACAGTCGTTAAAGTTTGATAGTTTGCTTGATGAATATCTAAATATGATTTTAAAGGGACCCTCCCACCTTCAAAAAAGTTAATGAATTGGCATGAAAGTGATGTCCCTTGGTTCAGAAAGAGCGAAAACGAATTTCTACCAAATTTCACCGAAAAATATTCACTGGTTTTCAAGATATTAGGCTTTTACTTTTGTTTACTTTTTGGGATCTCCCTGTTACTAGCGACTTTATTTGGAAGCAATAATTTGGCAGCCTTAAAGTGCGGCAGACGTTGCGCGCAAAGCAGCGTATACCACCACGTGTTAACGATGGTTTTAGTCTAAGATTTAAAAACCGTTAGATCTCCGCTGACGTCACAAATTCTAAGGGGGCATACCAATGCATTAGCCCCTTAGAATCCGAAAACTGCAAGTTTGAAATTCCATATCTTCGAATTAAAGCATTTCTCGATGTTGTGAGTGCCCAAACCGGTATTTGCAGGCCATGGCCACCAATTTGGCTATCTCAACTCAAAACTAATGTTAAGGTGGGAGGGTCCCTTTAACGTCGGCCCATTCATTTACGCTACAGGCACTCCAAGCATGGGAAGCACAGTAGTCTTGCGATTGAATTGAATGGATTGCGATAGTTTAATTTAATTGGTTATTTCATGTTGCACTTTACAGTGCACGCAGATATTGCCGGGATCACCAGATACATGCAAACTTAAGTTTCAACCAACAAAGCACCGTGAACCCAACATCATTTGTTTGGTGACGGAGGAATCGAAACAAGACGAGCAAGGGCGTAACCGTCACATAAATGTTGAAAGATTATAAGTTGATATTTCTGCGGACGAGTCTTCCGTGGCTTTCGGGTTAGTGGAGAGTGGGAACAGCTCCTTCGCAACTAAGCAACACTGGGGACCGACATGAAGAAAATAGTTGCATACTTAAGCTGAAACCTTTAAGTTGTGGCCATTATCCAGTTGTCTTTTCTAATTGTAATGAACTATGACGCAATGAGCAATCTCGAACTGCCAACAAAGTAGGTTGGTGCTAAGTAAAGCGATGAGCTGTGTGTCTCAGAAGTGTAATAAGGTCTTTGGTCAATAAAGGTATACAGTTTTTAATATTAAAATAAATAAATAAATGTTTCAAGTGCGTGTCGTTGATCACAGTTGACCGCTCATGTTTATGTGCACAGCGACAACTTTCGTCCTGCGAAACGGGTCTGGCAATCGTACCAACACATGCCAAGGAGCAATATTGCCAGTGTGTAGCGCCACCCACCCAACGAGCGAGGCGCCCGCTGGCGGGCCATTACACCGACTGCCTGATGTGCTCGCATCATCCATCCTTCCATGATAATTGTATGTCCAGCGTCGGAAGGACAGAGTTCACACAGGGCAGGACACGCGCACATTCAGTGTTGGACTAGTTACTCAGGTAAATGGAAAATCAATATAAATATAAAATGCATACGATGTGTACCTATAGTTAAAATAAAATATAAATGGATTCATTTTTTGTCTTATCTTTACATACAATTTATCGCCGAAATTCGAAAGCATTCCTCGTCGCGCGCGACGGAGAACGCTATCTAGAAAGCGCGTGATGTTTGTAAAAAAACAAGTTCAAATATCGAAGTGGTCTGGTCACCTGGTCTCAAGGGCCATGTGCAGGAAGTTCGTGACACCGGGCACGGTTCGTCGGTGCACGGTGGCAGGATCACACACCACTAGTACTTACTTTCGTCGACAGATGGCACGTCGCGCGCCTCCATCTCGGACGGTTCGACGGGATCCTCCAGCTCAGCAGAGGGCGCCTCGGTCATATTTTGTTGGTAATCTTCATCCACTTGTGAGGCGTATCGCTCCTTCAATATCTCCTTAGGAACTGTAAAGTCAAACAGAAACCGATATGAACGTTACATAAATGCGATGTTCAGAGTCGTGCTTATTCGTTCGTCTAAAATAATAAAATCAAAGTAGCCGGAGCATCGAACTAACAAACGGTACGTCCGTTGCGCCTTGTGGGCATACAAACTCAAAGACACATTGCGTGCCGCATTCGTCCTCGGTTTCTCACACTCTACTTCCGTCCGCTAACCCGCTGGGCGATCTAACCCGATCGGGATCGAATCGGGACTTACCGCAGGTGTATTTTGTGGTGAGGTACATGTTGTGGTCGGGACTCGGATACTTACCGCAGGTGTATTTCGTGGTGAGGTACATGTTGTGGTCGGGACTCGGGTACTTACCGCAGGTATATTTTGTGGTGAGGTACATGTTATGGTCGGGCGGACAGGAGCGTGTGAACAGCTCCGGGTCAGCCGACAGCTCACAGCTCGGCTTCCCCTGGCACCAGCTGATCATCTTCTCAGAGGTCAGACTCGAGTGACAATCTGAAAATGAGAAACAATCAGATTCATCGCATTCATGTGAGGTTAACCAGATTGTGCGGTTAACCGCAAGAGTGCGGGGTTACCGGACAGATAAGTTCCGATTAACTCATTTTGTGATAAGCATCGGACTCAACCACAAGAGCTGCAAGCGACACATTGAACTATAAAAATATGCTAAAGGTACTCCTCGAGAGTTATATAGAAGTTTCTTCAGACGCTTATGATCGCAGTGACACACCAGTTCCCAGCAATAAGCCAAACGTTCTGAGACTTGAGATCGATAGGCAGGTGCACAGTGCACACTTCGCTTTCCAACGTAGCCACATGTTCGCAAGTCAATTGATGGCTGTTCAGTGTTCACACAAGTTTCAGTAGTTAAATGCAAGGTCATGTAATGCTTTATCGGCTATGCATGATTGCGCAGTGTACCGTATGCGTCGACAGTTCCCAGCAAGAACATCCTAAGTGTCATTTTTTTTAATTGAGATTATTATACCATTCGACTCAGAGCTCGACGAGCTGAGTCGAATGGAATAAAAATATCAATTTCAAAAAATTAGACACTTAGGATGTTCTGTTCTTGCTGGAAACTGTCGACGTAATGAATTGTCCTGTACCGTGCGTACTGTGCTGTGTTCTGTGTTGTGTTATGTGCCGTGTCATCCCCTGTCGAATCGTTGCCTTGGACTGTGCTGTGCTGAGTTACATTGCCGTAGTTCTATTCTACCCGGTTCTCACCAGTAAGCCACACGCCAGGCGGCTGCAGACAGTGGACAGTGCTGTTATGTGTAGTGCTGTAACTATAGTGTGTCTCTCTCTGTGTGTGTGTGTGTGTGTGTAGTGTTTCATTTGTTCTCACCAGTAAGCCTCACGCCCGGCGGCTGGGGGCAGTGGACAGTGCTGTTATGTGTAGTGCTGTGTCTATAGTGTGTCTCTGTGTGTGAGTGTGTGTGTGTAGTGTTTCATTTGTTCTCACCAGTAAGCCTCACGCCCGGCGGCTGGGGGCAGTGGACGGTGCTGTTATGTGTAGTGCTGTAACTGTAGTGTGTCTCTGTGTGTGAGTGTGTGTGTGTAGTGTTTCATTTGTTCTCACCAGTAAGCCTCACGCCCGGCGGCTGGGGGCAGTGGACAGTGCTGTTATGTGTAGTGCTGTGTCTATAGTGTGTCTCTGTGTGTGAGTGTGTGTGTGTAGTGTTTCATTTGTTCTCACCAGTAAGCCTCACGCCCGGCGGCTGGGGGCAGTGGACGGTGCTGTTATGTGTAGTGCTGTAACTATAGTGTGTCTCTGTGTGTGAGTGTGTGTAGTGTTTCATTTGTTCTCACCAGTAAGCCTCACGCCCGGCGGCTGGGGGCAGTGGACAGTGCTGTTATGTGTAGTGCTGTAGTGTCTCTGTAGTGTCTATAGTGTGTCTGTGTGTGTGTGTGTGTACGAGTTGTATTTCATTTGTTCTCACCCGTAAGCCTCACGCCCGGCGGCTGGGGGTAGTGGACAGTGCTGTTATGTGTAGTGCTGTAGTGTCTCTGTAGTGTCTATAGTGTGTCTGTGTGTGTGTGTGTGTACGAGTAGTATTTCATTTGTTCTCACCCGTAAGCCTCACGCCCGGCGGCTGGGGGCAGTGGACAATGCTGTTATGTGTAGTGCTGTAGTGTCTGTGTAGTGTCTATAGTGCGTCCCTGTGTGTGAGTGTGTGTGTAGTGTTTCATTTGTTCTCACCAGTAAGCCTCACGCCCGGCGGCTGGGGGCAGTGGACAATGATGTGTAGTGCGGTAACTATAGTGTGTCTCTGTGTGTGAGTGTGTGTGTAGTGTTTCATTTGTTCTCACCCGTAAGCCTCACGCCAGGCGGCTGGGGGCAGTGGACAATGCTGTTATGTGTAGTGCTGTAGTGTCTCTGTAGTGTCTATAGTGTGTCTCTGTGTGTGAGTGTGTGTGTAGTGTTTCATTTGTTCTCACCAGTAAGCCTCACGCCAGGCGGCTGGGGGCAGTGGACAATGTTATTATGTGTAGTGCTGTAACTATAGTGTGTCTCTGTGTGTGAGTGTGTGTGTAGTGTTTCATTTGTTCTCACCCGTAAGCCTCACGCCAGGCGGCTGGGGGCAGTGGACAATGTTATTATGTGTAGTGCTGTAACTATAGTGTGTCTCTGTGTGTGAGTGTGTGTAGTGTTTCATTTGTTCTCACCAGTAAGCCTCACGCCCGGCGGCTGGGGGCAGTGGACAATGTTATTATGTGTAGTGCTGTAACTATAGTGTGTCTCTGTGTGTGAGTGTGTGTGTAGTGTTTCATTTGTTCTCACCAGTAAGCCTCACGCCCGGCGGCTGGGGGCAGTGGACAGTGCTGTTATGTGTAGTGATGTGTCTATAGTGTGTCTCTGTGTGTGAGTGTGTGTGTGTGTAGTGTTTCATTTGTTCTCACCAGTAAGCCTCACGCCCGGCGGCTGGGGGCAGTGGACGGTGCTGTTATGTGTAGTGCTGTGTAACTATAGTGTGTCTCTGTGTGTGAGTGTGTGTAGTGTTTCATTTCTTCTCACCAGTAAGCCTCACGCCCGGCGGCTGGGGGCAGTGGACAGTGCTGTTATGTGTAGTGCTGTAGTGTCTCTGTAGTGTCTATAGTGTGTCTGTGTGTGTGTGTGTGTACGAGTAGTATTTCATTTGTTCTCACCCGTAAGCCTCACGCCCGGCGGCTGGGGGCAGTGGACAGTGCTGTTATGTGTAGTGCTGTAGTGTCTCTGTAGCGTCTATAGTGTGTCTGTGTGTGTGTGTGTGTGTACGAGTAGTATTTCATTTGTTCTCACCCGTAAGCCTCACGCCCGGCGGCTGGGGGCAGTGGACAATGCTGTTATGTGTAGTGCTGTAGTGTCTGTGTAGTGTCTATAGTGCGTCCCTGTGTGTGAGTGTGTGTGTAGTGTTTCATTTGTTCTCACCAGTAAGCCTCACGCCCGGCGGCTGGGGGCAGTGGACAATGATGTGTAGTGCGGTAACTATAGTGTGTCTCTGTGTGTGAGTGTGTGTGTAGTGTTTCATTTGTTCTCACCCGTAAGCCTCACGCCAGGCGGCTGGGGGCAGTGGACAATGCTGTTATGTGTAGTGCTGTAGTGTCTCTGTAGTGTCTATAGTGTGTCTCTGTGTGTGAGTGTGTGTGTGGTGTTTCATTTGTTCTCACCAGTAAGCCTCACGCCAGCCGGCTGGGGGCAGTGGACAGTGCTATTATGTATAGTGCTGGTAACTATAGTGCGTCCCTGTGTGTGAGTGTGTGTGTAGTGTTTCACTTGTTCTCACCAGTAAGCCTCACGCCAGGCGGCTGGGGGCAGTGGACAATGCTATTATGTGTAGTGCTGTAGTGTCTCTGTAGTGTCTATAGTGTGTCTCTGTGTGTGGGTGTGTGTAGTGTTTCATTTGTTCTCACCAGTAAGCCTCACGCCCGGCGGCTGGGGGCAGTGGACAGATCCCCGCCGTTCGGTGCCGAACGAGGCCGAGTAGATGGCCACTCGGTGCTGGTCGCAGTAGATGGGTCGCCGCTGGCCCTGACACACCACCTTTGTCCGGAACTCGGCTGCGGAGAAACATGGCGTGTGGCGTCACACATAGGCTCAGAATCGTGTCTCGTGGCACATTGCAAAGCTATTCAAAATGCGATTTCGTCATCAAAGTATTTCTTTCATTGATAAACGGAAGTCTATAAGTAATCGGGTTCAACAAAAAAACTCACATTTCAGCAATAATCATAACAAACTCCTGAAATGGCAAGAGTAATAAACCTTTTGTCTTATAAAATAATGGATTTGTCACCGGGAGAAAATTACGTAACACAATATCAGATTCAAAACAAGTGTGCTCGAATATTGCGCCAGCACCATAAAAGCACCAACAATACTAAGCACAGGATATGGGCACACATCCCGTTTGAATCCCGCGAATTAAGCCGTCAAAGCCGAGGCCATTTGGAGCGTCGATGCCGCCGCTGCCCGGCGCACTCCGCAGTCCCCGTGTCACCTAACGGCGTGTTTTGCGCTGCGCACCCGTCACCGTTTAGGCGCGTGTGAGTGCGGGCAGATGCCGCCATCCGGAAGCGCTAAAAATAACAGCTCATTAGGCGGCCCGGACGGGGTGCCCAGCTTTTTCCGCTCGACTGAGACGAACCCACGCGATGATGGTTTGGTTGGAATACCAAAATTCCGTAAATATTCACCATTAACTGCACACCTACGCCTAATTGCCTACATACATGCACGCCTAGCATTTATATGGTATAATGTATATCCCTGCATGGAATTTATCACGTATCAAATTCATTCAAGTCTTATCAAGCTCGGATTTCGTACCTTATCACGTAGATCAAATACCGACTAGGCTGAAACCGATCCCCATCGCGTTGTCTGGTGGCGCTCGATCTTTCGCTGCGGAGCTAGTGGGCTGTGTCCATTGCTAGGATTGCGATATTAGCCAAGATCGGACGTCCTAGATGGCTAGAGCATGTGCCGGCTCTCACTAAAATGGCCGCTCCTCGAGACCAAATGGAATGTCGGTGTCCAAGATCGACAGCGGAATCAAAGGGATTACAAGGCTTAAGCTGTCGTTAACTACCCGCAACATCGGAAATACGTCATCTAACGGCATCTGAAGAGCTTTAACTTTCGTCTCTTTTGGTCCTGGAAATCGAAGAACTTCGCCAGAAAATGAGTCCAGCTTAATTGCAGGACTATTCTTACGAAGCGAAGAACGAGTTGAAACGGGCAATGGAAGGAAATTCTCGCATTTTAACACGTTCACTTATTTTTGACACATCCAATCAAAAGTAAGCACATCCAAACCAGACATGGGCATGGGTCCGAGTGATGAATCTATGATCTCAGTGGATCTCGAAGCAAAGTACAGATTGGGATATATGATCCCACCGGATCCGGCGTGAAAAATATATCTTGGATTTATGATATCATATGATCTGACGATAAATTAAGAACATGGATCTATGTTCTGAGTGGATCCCACCATGCACCACATTCATTTGATACCATGCTTTAAAGGGTTTCTATGCCAATAAGTGACACAAAACTATGGATTATGACGTGCGATCACATAAAATCACTAAAACAGAACGTTTGTGAGTTGAAACAAGTGCTTTTTTGGGATATATGTGTTGACAAAAATAAGTGAGGATCTATGATCTCACTGGATCTCAGGCAAAAAATGAGACTCGGATCTGTAATCCCTACGGATCTCTCGATAAATTACAGAGCTGGATCTATGATCCCGTCGGATCCGAGATCAGGATCCGTGGGATCAGATCCCAGATCGATTTTCCCGGATCCATGCACATGTCTGATCCAAACTACTAGTCACCATAGTCCATAGAATCCTCATCATGAGACCAATAGCATATAAGATAATAACTGTCAACACCAATAGTACGATCTCAATGTGCAGGTATATGCCCTGGTGGGCATTGTAACGATATAGAAAATTCAACTTCCTAATGCGCCAAATCAACAAGAATATCAGTGGATATGGATTTCGCTACCCTTTCAACTCCAAAGCAGAAGCACGCTCGTTGGGTTAAAGTGGATATGATGCATCTCCTATTTATTCACCGTTTATTTTTCTTTTGTAACTTCAGATGGTTCCCGACGGAGTGAATGTGTAAAATGCAAACAGCAGCTTCCTGTGGATCGGCACTGCTAGTTCCCACGAGCCGACGGACTTTACAAAAACATGTTCTACTGCCGGTGGCCGGATGTGCGAGACACGACATATCAACACAGGCGAGTGTTAGAGCACGATAAATGACCGTAACTGAAAACACAGAAAACTCGTGTCGATGGGATGTGAGAGGAACTGTTGAGGTAGCACAGCGGCAGTACTCACTCGGTCGGCATTTGTAGGCAACTTCGACGAATTTGCTGATACCCGGGCACGGGTCGACCCCGAACAGGGCAGCAGAGGTACGCAGCTGACACTGGCGCTTCCCGACGCAGGCGTCAATCACCACCTGTCACATGGGGACTGTCACACTCTGGCAGAGACTGTCATATGACGGCTGTCACAACTGACAGTCTCACAGCCACTGTCACACAGCAGTTAACACAGCCTCGCAGCGGCTATCACATGGTAGCTGTCGCAGTCTCAAAATTGACTGTCATATGACAATCGGCAGCTGTCATAACGGAGTCTCGCAGCGACTGTCACACCGGAGACATCGCAGCTCTGACACACGACCAGCGCGATGCCGTAAATAAAGGTTAGGCGGTTATATAAACATTTACTTAAAGTTATTTGTTTAATCAGCAACGAAAAGGTTCGCCGAAAAACTCCCTTTATGGCAGCTCACGGGTCATAAATTTGACACGATATATAAACTTAAGAGTTTTCGCACACAACTATACACATATGATCCTACATCAATCTTACATTTGACCTATACCTACTGATAGCTCGCCCCCCCCCCCCCCCGTTTACCACTACACCCCCGTTAAACCCCGTAAACCGGCGTCGCCATCCCCTGGCTCACCTTGAGCGCGCTCCTGTCCATGCAATCGGTGTAGTTGAAGCGGCGCATGTCGGCCGCCGATCCGCACAGTGTCGGGTTGGTGGCCAGTCGGCCGTACTGCACCAGCTGGATGGAGACGGTGGTGCCGGCCGGACACTCGAGTCGCAGCAGCTCGCCGTCACAGGAAGCCACCTGGAACGTGCGCAGCGTACCCGACAGCAGCGCTGGAACAGGGGAAACAGGGGGTTAGAGATGGGGAACTAAGGTCACAACATCGACAGTAGAGCCGTCAGCTGAGCCAGGGGAAACATGGGGTTAGAGATGGGGAACTAAGGTCACAATATCGACAGCAGCACTGGAACAGGGGGAACATGTGGGTTAGAGATGGGGAAATAAGCTCAACAATACCGGCAGCAGCACTGAAACACAGAACATGGAGGATAGAGATGAGGAATGACTATAAGACCATATTACCGGCAGCAGCGCTAGGAACACGACACAGAGGTCGATTGGCTGAATCACAATACCGACAAGAGCACTTCAAAACGAATATGTACGAGCATGTACGAGTATGATGGTGACTGAGCGATGAGCATGAAGATCGTTGCAAAAAGATTCAGGATACAGTACAGAGTGACATAAGTAAAGATGGAATGTCCAAGTCCCTCTCGTCACACGGTGGAAGCGCGAGAGCCACCTTCCTGAGCTATACGGCACAGCATAACTTCAGGCGTCAGACGCCAGTGCCATCTAGTGACAAGAATGCTACACTGTCGCGGACGGTTCCAGGGAATTTCAGTCTCGCGCATTAACATTTCCAGTAGTACGTGAATCACGTTTGTTCTGGGACCTTTGGCGCGGTGACACCGTTTTCTCCGAGCCATTTGGAAGCTCCGTCCCCTGACGGCTTCGCAACAGGCCAAACTGAGGCGCGGCGAGCGGTGCCAAGTGCGCCAGAGCTCCTCTCTCCCTCCGTCCCTCTCTCTCAGGCTGCTCCTGTCAGGTAACGCAGGCCAGCTGACGAGCGGCCTTCAGGTGACTGTGAGGTAGGCAGCAACACCAGCAGCGACCAGCAGCGTCCCCACAGCAGGGCAGGGGCCAGCAGTGCAGCACCATGGGAGAGGGCCCGACGGACCACCTGAAGTGGCACCCACTCTCGCTCACAGGCGAGTGAAGGACGACGGTGGACCAGCGGCGGAGCGAACAGAAAAAAAAGAATACTGGACACAATTCAGAAGGCAGAGAAAATGATGGCAAAAATGTTTTATTAAATAGGACTGTGGATAAAAGAATGTAAACGTGAGTGCGTGTGGATACATAGGAGAGAGAGTGAGAGAGAGAGAGAGAGGGGGAGAGGGAGGGAAGGAAAGAGTTGGGGGGAGAGAGCGGAAGAAGGAAAACGAAAAAAGAAAACATGTTTAAATCTAGGGCCACAGGCAGATATCGGCTACAGAATGGGTACTGCATGGACAGAAGGCTTTGGAAAGTGGAGAACTTATGATAAGTGAAGTGAGCGAAATATCCCGGTATCTGTAGGCATTCTGGGTCGTTTGGAACAGAGCTCTCGGCTGATGCCGCTCCCCGCCGGGCTAGCTCGCTCAGTTAAAACGTCTCCCTGGTTCAGCTACTGGTCGATGTCGCCCGAACTAGGCCAAGCGACGAGCTTCATCGAAACACCCTCGACGTCGCAGACACCAGATCCAGAGTTCACTTACAGTATTGGCTGTGAAAATAGCCGTGGGAACTTTGAAGCTCTTCCGTAAGGCTGCGTTTTTGAACCGTCGATCGTATTTCCAGCAAATGAAGCCATCAGTATAACAAACGGGATAGATAGGACCCATATTTGAAATGATAACAACCGATTTTTCGCCCATGCACATCGATTCACGGACTGAAGACGAGCGACGATGCGAGAATGTCATGAGGTCAAGGTAGAGGGCAACAGTTCCTGGCTGTTTGCTTCTCATTCTATATTCTTTGACGTAAGTTGGACGTGAAATCCGAGGATGAGACGTACTACGTAGTTACATATGCCTAGCCTATGATACCTAGATACCCATAGGTATGCTTAGATGAATACATACGCAGTTCGCAAAATAAAAAAGTGTAAATGACGGAGTGCAATTGCTTCAAATTGTGCCCATCAAAGTCCATACAGCAGCATTGAAACTGACTCGGAATCAACGCCCAAAATAAACCACCTGTGGTTACCTGCGCGGTAGAGGCCAAATAATGAACGTGCTTAGGTATTTTGTATACGAGTGCAGCACTCGGTGCAGGTGCAATACTGCATTACCAATGTTGGCGAAAGGCATATCTATTGCTCCTTTCTATTTAAGATTTTCGCATTTTAATTTATGCTCCTTATATTAAGTAGGTATAAAATGCATCCTACCTATAAACGCCTTAAATTTTACGACTAGAATCAACAATAAAGAATGCCTACTCTGCGTCAATGCTTTCAAAGAGGTAACAAAAGAATTCGTTGGTGCATTTCCGCCGTAGTTCATCTTATCCATATGCAGTAATAATGTTTTATAATCTTTGTTTATACAAGCTTATAACAATTAAATTATGCATGAAAAAATAAAAGCTCGAACCATATAGGAACCTAAAAAAAAATAATGTTATTTTTATAACCGAAGCCCTTTTCAGTGGTCTGCTGCTCGCTGACGACGCACTGTTTGCTAACAGGTGCGCCGTCTGTGAACGGGTGCAGTGCCACAGGTGCAGCTGAACACGAGCCGTGAGTGGCGGCCGGTACTGACACTGCCCCTTTCACACGGAGGAGGCCGAACACCTGTCTGCCAGGAGCACCAACAGCTGATCGGCAGAACGCCGCACTGTCCGGCGGCCCGGCACCCGCGCGCTGCATCAAACAGACTCCACAAACAAGCATACAACGAAGCGTGAGTATGTATGTTACACAACGAACCTGACGCGTGAGTTTGCGTACAAAGCTGAGGGTGGGGAACGGGGGTATACGTGCAGCGCGCATCACAGGGGCTCTGCGGTTTGGAGTGCGGCCAGCCTCTGTCACGGAATCTCTCCCTCGGGCGTAGATAAGCGCCCGATGGCAGCGGCCCCATCTGATGAGCTCCAGCGGCGCACACACAATGGCTGTGCGTCACCGAATGCCGCATCACCAGACAGCGTGCAGTCGTGCACCGAGGGCAGGCCGCCGAGGGTGATGACTAATAGGACCAAGGAGGCTGGAGGGAGAGCCGCCCCCGCCGCCCCCGCTGCCCCGCAGCCCCGCTGCCCCCGCTGCGCCGGGGCGCCGCGGAGTTCGGCCAGCTGGCACCCTGGCCCGAGTCGGTAGTTAAGTTCTGGGTGATTTCCCGCTATAATCCCGCGGTATGCAGACCGAAAGGTATTTGGTTTTCTTAGAGGTGCCCGAGGTGACCTGACCCCGACGGCGGAACGGAGAGGTCGGGACTGCAGCTTTGGTCGGCGATCGGTCCTTTGTTACGGCTCACGGCACGCATCGAGCTGGCATATTGGGTGTAATGAGGACCCACTGAACTGCCTCAGACATTCACCTGTGCTCTCATCCCGTCCCAGTCTGCTAACTCCTCCCACACACTCCCGAGTCCCGTTCTGCTCACTCCGGACTCCCACACACTTCTGCACGCCACAGTTTCCAGCTCTCTGGGGAATGAGCAGAGTGCAGAGCTCACCTCCTCCGAGGGAATTCTTGGTAACGCACACCGAAGCCCGGCGCGAAAAACGGAGGATTACGTAGTTTGTCGGTTCTGGGAAAACATCAAAGAAATCAGTGCTGAAATGTGCTGCTTGGAACATAACGACGGACGCCCGAAATATACCTGGCTCCTTGGGGCGCGTGTCGGAAATGGTGTACCAGTTTCGAGACAGGCACGTGCAGTGCAATCCATCGGCCTTAATTGAACTCCAGGAACATACCCTGATATAAAAGAGGTCTTGGCTTTGCTATATCAATGCCTGCAGTGTACTCGAGTCTCAGTAATGATATTTTACCGTGTTTATTTCGTATCTCAGAAGAGTTATCTTTAAATATCAACCAGGATTTTACATTAAACAGCGTCGGGAAATACCTGCCCCTTAAAATTCACCTCGGAAGACTTTTCGTCTCGTCTGGGTCGTAGGGTCTTTCCATTCCACCGCTCACATATCAAACATTCGGAGCAGAACAAAGACATAATCCCATTCCATAATTGAACGTCAACCGCGTCAGCATGGCTTAGCGTTCTAGCTTTCAGATATCAAAGAAAGCTTCATTTTTGAATTGCCCATTTCTGGGTGCTGCGGCGGTAAGACGTCATAACTGGCATCAATTAGCTCATTTAATTATGGTGCAGCTATTTGTGAACCTCAGCATGGCTGCTCTGTTTCCCTAAGCACATGATCGACGGCTCCTCGACTGGGCCTCCCATCGGGGAGCGGTGTGCAGAGTGGCACCGCGGTGTTTGAGCAAACATCCGACCCGCTCCGGGCGCCCTTGAACCCCCACACCGCCACCGGCCGGTGATCCATCCCAAACCGACCCCGGCGCCAAAAACGCAGCTGCGCGCGCGAGCCGCTCCATCGGCTCTACAGGACGGTGTAAACATCCCACCGGTGCTGATAGATGGACAAGTGCCTTCTCACGGATGCGTGTGATGGGATTTAAGGACACGCAAATAGTGAAAGACAGCTTGAGTGAAAGCTTTTAGGAACACTGAGATCACCAAGTCCTTAAACGTTTAAAGCGAAATCATTCAGCGTAAAACAAACTGTGATAATCGCTTGTTCGTTAGGTATTATGTCGTTGTGCACTAAAAGCTTCCTGAGGCATTTCACCCCCTCAGCTGAACTTCACAGAAGGGACTGAGCGAGATGATGCTACACGGCTTTTGCAGCGTAAATCTGACCAGTCATTTCTTTTGAATATGAGTCACAACCCCTGCAAACATGACACCACACAGGGAGAATTTACATCCGGAAATATTCAAACCATTAACCATTCAGTTTATGAAGGGCAAATTAGTTACACGAACATGAAGTATCAGTTGGTGAAACCTTCTCCCGGATGAAGCGATTCCGGAAATGGCACAGCAAGTAAGATTCACTAAATGTGTCACAATAACTAGCTCTTTAAGATTTTCTTAGCTGGGTTACGCTAAAGTCATAGTTCATACGCAAAGAGGGCCTGCCCGGGACGAGATAAAATACGGATATCAGATCCCGTCAATCGTCATGTCGAAAGTAACTCTATCCGACAGCAGAAAAGAAGCGTAGCTGCTTCTCGACTGCAAAGTAGCTTCCGGAAGCAATTAAGCCCATCACTCACCCAGCTGGTCCTCTCTGTAGATGCGCTGTGAGGTGACTCCGAGCAGACTCACGGCCAGCCAGCAGAGCCAGTGAAGTCGTGGAGACACAGCCGACCACCGGGGCCCCGGCCCGCCGGAAACCGCCATCGCCAACACGTCACACTGGCGATCGTCAGACACCACAGGACCCTCCGACCGCACTGTCCCACGAGACCCGACTGCACGGGGTGCGGCAGCGCGTCAGCGACTCACAGGTGCACCGACTGGCGGGTATAGCGTGCCACCAAACTAGCACAGTTCACCGGTGGGCGCCTCACGGTCCGCCGTCCCTCTGGGCCACTGGAGCGGCAGCCACCCCTCACGCGACCCCCTCGCAGCACGCACTGGCGGCGGGCCCGCTGGAAGCGGCGTCCGTTCGCAGGGGAGCGGCGGGTGCCCACCATGTGCGTCGATCTTGGCCACATCTGGCGCCTCGGCCGGCCGGCGCCTCGCCGCGCCGCCCCCGCCCCCGCCCGAAATAGGAGCGCCGCCGCGCCGACGACGACGCGGCGCTCGCGCGGCGCACGCTGCCGCTACCTGTTGCGGCTCCAACGGCCGGCGCACGGGGCCGCTGCGGCAGCTCGGCACGGAGCGCACGGGGCGAGCGCCGAGCGGGAGAAGTTAGGCAGTCATGTAGCGGCATGTAGCGTAGCCGATGTTTCTGTGGGGTTTGGCCCGACCGACTGGCTGACTCAGGCTCGCCGGGGGTGGTCCAGCTTTTGATGAGAGGAGCGCCAGCAGGCCGGGCTGCAGCGGACGCGCGCCGCCCGCCCGCGCCTCGACAGCCGTGTCAAAACGGCTCGTTAAAACTACATACACCACAGTGGATTGGCGCTCCAAATGCCACCTCAAATGGAAAAGAGGAGCTGGCGTATTATACATCCAGTGAGCTTGAAATTTCGGCCATATTTCTATGGGCTATTTTTGACGGGTTCTTGTCGGGATGTTAGCTTCATAGCAGAAAATCTGCTACCTAACTATTTGAAGGAGAAGGGGATATACGAGCACTGAAATCGAGCACCACCGAGCCTCCCGGGTGATACATACCTATTGGAAGGTGCCATCCCGCCTATTCGATGACAGGATGGCACCAATCACAAGCAAGGACAGCAATGACGAACGTTGCGCTTCAGGCATTGCGGCAACCGCAAGCCAAAATAGAAATATAATCATAAACTTTCCACAGCCTAAAGTTTAAAAGAGCAACGAGATAGGTATGCAAGTAACGAGCGACTAAGCCTATAAAACAGCTGCGGTAAGTGTGTGTGGTGGGGGGGGGGGGGGCAAAAATGATCAATTTTACAGTATCGGCCCAAACTGCCCAAGTAAACTTTGAATTTTTTTCTGTTTCGTTATTGTTTTCATAGCACTTCACAAATAATATTGGTCGCTCTGTCTATGTAAATGCTATCTTCCAACTGGCAACTTTCCTTGTTCACCAAAAACACACACAGTCTTTCATTGATCTAGCTCACTTCATCTGAAAATTTACTTTGATTTTTCAATCTATATATACTGCCTTAAAAATATCACTTCGCACAAAATATTCCCGGCTTTACATATAAAGGCCTGGCTACACTATGCGTTTTCTGCGTGCGTTTTTTGCGTGTTTGCGTGTTTTGCAGAATATCGTTCAAGAAAAAAAGTTATTATAAATATGACTTCTTTAATATCTGTATAAAAGTTGATAAAACGTGTATATTAATTAAAACTTTATATGAAAAACATATAACAAAAACGTAATGTCGTTTCTTTCTAGAACGATATTCCGCAAATCACGCAAACTCGCAAAAAACGCACGCAGAAAACGCATAGTGTAGCCAGGCCTTAACAAGCAGCAACGCATGTAACGACCACGACGAACTATTCATGCATATTGCATAAGCCGTGTTATTTTATATTGGCCAATGCGATTGCAGACGCTGCAACAGTTGCGCGGCAGAACCCCGCAATATCGGTGTCCGGACAGACTTCAGGACACTTCAGTCCGATATGACTGGTGCCGGCGGGCTGCCGCTCGCCATTGGGGATCCCGGAGCTGTTGACTTCAGTTGAGTTTCAGCACCAGACGAGGCCAGGTTTGTTGGTCACGGATCCGGGGAGACAGTTGGTTCGCTCTGATGGGACAGTTGTTCCGGGTGGCCGCGACAGTTTTAAACTCGTATAGCTTTTTTTTGTTAACTCGTTCGGCCATGGCGCTACAGGCCTACAGGCGCGGTTTGGGCCGACAGCTTGCATTGTTTATAGCTGGGACCCGGGACAGTTACACCGTGAGCGTTGGTCGGGCTGCTGTCCCACTTGCTCTAGCCCAGTGGGACAGTTAGTCTCTCCCACTGGGGCAGCTGGCTCTCTCCTCTGGACAGTTGACTCCCAAGCTGACGTTTTCGGCCGCGCTCGGAGGTTCGCCCGACCGACACCTAAAGCGGATAGCGGTCGGCACTGGTAGCCCGGCACCGCCAGTGCAGTGTTTCACTATCCGGACGGGGGCCAACCGCCATCCCCCTCGTCATCGCGGCCTCTAAAAGTTTACCGTGCGGCTGAGGCGTTGTTCGAAAGAGGGCGCCGGGCTCACCGGCGCGGCGGAGCGGAGAGACGGCACCACAGCAGCCCTGCTGACATTCGGGATCCTTTTGGCTGCCTCTCAGGCGTGCCAAGGCCGGCACGTCGTGCCTATTGGCAAGGCATCCGGCCAGGGATAATGGTCAAACTAATGGCCGGTGCAAACCTGCTGAAACTTAAATTAACGACGCCACCGATTATTTTATGCTCGGCCGTAATCGGTTGGGTGACATTTGCTCTGAGGAGTATGCCAACCATAAATATACCGCTTACGCGTGTGCATATTTCCCGGCGTCGCGTCGCACCCCTGCGCTACTTCCGAGACCCACGCATGCCTGACATCGTTCCTGCATACCGGGCACGCCCGAGACGGGTCCACAAGGGGAGGGAACGCCGAGCATTTGGCGCGCTGCCCCACTATGAAATAGTGTTTGGCTCCGAGAAGGACCGTGTCGGTCGACAACACCAGCAGTCTCGTGACAAACGTCAGCGGTGCTGGCCGGGGGAGCGGCCTGGAAATAGCCACCCGAGATCCAATCACGTGACCAGTGGGGGCGACTGTCCCAAAGGAGGGGAGGGGGAGGGGCGGTCACGCGCGTAACGTCCCAGTCAGAAGACGAAGGATGCCCATGTGACGTCAGAAGACATTGCCGAAGGCTTGATAGGTGGTAAATCTGCAATTTATGTTCGGTGGATCGTCCTGCCCTGGAATTGCATAAACTAAAAAAAAAAAATGGTGACCAAAGCTTCACTTATGAAAGTGCGGCATTGAAAAGGGCTGAGCATCAGGAAAAAAATATGGTCGGTAAAATCGGCAATTGGGCAAAATACCGTCGCCTCTGTGGCATCCGAAACTGAAACAAAGCAGCTAAGCGTCATGCCAACAGTTATGCACTAAATTCATACGTTTTAAGTGTTCACCCGATTGTAGACGCGAATAGTCTACAAAACTATACATTTCAGTTTTTAATTGATTGCTTAAAAAGATACTCAATTAATTACATGCTTAAGACAACTCAGCACAAAGCCCCAGAACCAGAGGAAATAACGTAATTCCTATTTTAATAAATACATTTATTATGCATTCAATAATGTCCTGCCTAGAGATAATCGACTCAGGCCCTGGTCGCCTGAACCTTGCCCTGAACCACATTCTGGACAAGTTTACTGATATTTGGCAGAAATGATCCAATGTTTTAAGGTAAAACGGCATCATCAACCAAAGCCACATCAAAATAAAATCAAATGTTGAGTGCTAATATGCGCAAGTCACGAGCAAAATTGACTGTGGTTTGTGTAGTGCTTGGCATTATCCTCGCCAATAAAGTCGTTGCCACGCTCTGGAGCCGCCATCATTATCATCATCGTCCGCGGATAAACCGGGGATATACGACGGCGTTAGCTGATCCGGCACATATGGCCGAGGACCGAGGTGAGGGGGGGGGGGCACAGCTGGACGGAGGGGTGAGCGGGCAGCGGTCCCCCGACCCGGCAGTGACCGGCCACCTGTTGACCGTCACCCCTGGCCCCCCTGACTCTCCCTCTCGGCTCCCCTCGACTCCCCGCTGGCAGGAGTCGCTGCCGACCGGCTCCCTCCTCACCGCCTCACTAATACGCGGCGAAAAAAAAATGGTGGCGACTGGCTCAGCAATTTGCACTGTAGTTTCATGGGAAAATCGTATACGTAGAAAGAACTTATAGTACAACCTAGCCAGTAAAAATGAATAGTTTCAGCCAAAGATAAAACACCAAAGCAGTCTTGTGTCTTGCTGCCAAGTTTCGGTTCAACTGCATCACCTGCCGCTACCCCTGCGGTCGGTGGTGGCCGATTTCTGTTATTTCCCCGTCTGCGGAGCCGGTGGTGGCCGTTTTCTGTTATTTCCCCGACTGCGAAGCCGGTGGTGGCCGTTTTCTGTTATTTCCCTGACTGCGGAGCCGGTGGTGGCCGTTTTCTGTTATTTCCCCGTCTGCGGAGCTGGTGGTGGCCGTTTTCTGTTATTTCCCCGTCTGCGGAGCCGGAGCCGGTGGCGGCGCGGCGCCGCGCGGCGGCTGACGGCCCGGTGTCGGATGACGCCCAGGGCCGGCTCTGTCGGTCGGCTGCCGGTGACGCCGCGGCTGATGGACTGTGACCGACGGCGGGCCCCGTCGCCAGGACCGGCCTCGCCAGAGGAAATCTGCCGTGAGATTGGCGAGGGGGAGGAGGCGGGGGACGCCGCTCCACGCACCGTGTTCCTCCCCTCCCTCCCCGCGCGGTGCTCACTCCCACAACCGACACCGGAGAACCGGCAGCAAAGGGAGAGTTTGAAAAGAGCGGGGCTTAGCAGGCTTTGTTGGCCGCTTGAAAGTAATCTACGTGATTTGCGCTATTGCCCCCGGAAATGAAGCAAGGGTGGCAGCGGTGAGGTAAATTTCCGGTGCAGTAACACTAATGTTTTAATAGAAAGGCTGGGTGGTGTTTCTTCGTTGGCAACGAAAACTGATTGATGATCATGTTTCTAAGAAACAAACAAGGTGGTTTCTTGTTGCTTCATGGGTGCGATGAGCACTGAAGTTTTCTAACTGGGCGATTCAAAATTAAATTATAGCGATGCTAGCTCGTTATACCAAGCCGTCACATTCCTGTTCATGCCAAAAGCGCAGCTATCTGCCCTTCAGGCAAAATTACCCAAGAATTTTTATTAGAAGGCTTATGCAGAGAGCGTGGCCCGAGGTGAACCGCAGGTCAACGGCCGCCATGCTGTCAGCGGCTCTGACATGCCACGGAACACATACAGGCGCCCCCTGTTCTGTTTGTTGACCTGACCCTTCACTGGGGCACACCGCCACCCGTCCAACACAAACAACAGAGACAGCAATAAATCTATTGTT